TTCTGTAGCTCAACACAAATGTAGGGATGTGGATGAGAGTGCAGACATGGGCAGGGACGTAGGAAATCTCCAAATATTAGAGTGAAAAGAGCCTGTGAGTGAATATAACAGTAAGCATATCGCTAGAATTGGGTTTAAACCGTATGATGGCAGCGGTAAATGATTACAATCCTCAGAATAAGGAATCCTTCAGAACTTTATGCACGACGTATGTCAGGCCAATTATAGAGTGCGTGGCCCTAGCATGGAGCCCACAACTGGTAAAGTGAAGAAACTCGAAATGGTTTAAAGTTTGCAAACCAGATTAGTAACAGAACTAAGAAGAATGAGGAGAGGTTGAAAATGCTGAACCTGACCGCCTAGGGGAAGGACGAGGGGAGAAACATGTTTACTACGTAAAAAATTCTAAGAAAAATTGATGGGACAGAAAACGACTGTTTGAATTAAGAGGCCTATGATTAAGGGGACTCATACCTGGAGAGGGTTCCGGGGGTCAACGCCCCCGCGGCCCGGTCTGTGACCAGGCCTCATGGTAGATCAGGACCTGATCAACCAGACTGTTACTGCTGGCCTCACGCAGCCCGACGTATGAACCACAGCCCGGCTGGTCAGATACTGACTTTAGGTGCATGTCAAGCACCTTCTTGAAGACAGCCAGGGGTTTATTGGTAAATCCCCTTATGTATGCTGGGAGGCAGTTGAACAGTCTTGGGCCCCTGACACTTATTGTGTTGTCTCTTATCGTGCTAATGGGGCCCCTGCTATTCATTGGGGGATGTTCCATCGTCTGACGAGTCTTTTGCTGTCGTAGGGAGTGATTTTCGTGTGCAAGTTTGGTACTAATCCCTCTAGGATTTTCCAAGTGTATATAATCATGTATCTCTCCCGCCTGCGTCCTAGGGAGTACAGGTTGAGGAACTTCAAGCGTTCCCAGTAATTGAGGTGTTTTATCGCAGTTATGTGTGCCGTGAAGGTTCAGGTGAAAGCTGGAAAAGCAGATGAGCCCTAGAGATGTAAGGAAGTATTTATTTAGTCTCAGGTTGATTGAAAATTGGAATGACTTGGATGAGGCAGTCATGGAAGCAAACTCAATACACAGCCTCAAGACTAGATGTGATAATGCTCAAGAGACCAGAAATCAGTGATGCTGATCAGAGCAGTAGACTATAGTGATTAGCATCAAAGGTTAGCCCCTCATCCCAAGTCTTGACCCAGGGAAACACAACTCAGTGAGTACACGAGGAAAAAATAAGGTATAGGCAGACTATATACATAGTTTTAATAATAGGTATAACATAGCCCAACGATCTTCCACTACTGTACCTCCAACGCTAACCAGACCTACTTCTCCATATCACCTCACCACACAACCTTCACTATATCACCACCACACCCGCTACATTTGGCCATAACTGCAGCAGTTGACCATAACATCACAACACCTGCATCAGCTGGTCATAATACCACGACGCCTGCCTCAACTGACCATAACATCACAACACCTGCATCAGCTGACCATAACATCACAACACCTGCATCAGCTGACCATAACATCACAACACCTGCATCAGCTGACCATAACATCACAACTGCCTCAACTGACCATAACATCACACCACCTGCATCAGCTGACCATAACATCACAACACCTGCATCAACTGACCATAACATCACAACTGCCTCAACTGACCATAACATCACACCACCTGCATCAGCTGACCATAACATCACAACACCTGCCTCAACTGACCATAACATCACAACACCTGCCTCAACTTGACCATAACATCACAACACCTGCATCAGCTGACCATAACATCACAACACTGCATCAGCTGACCATAACATCACAACACCTGCATCAGCTGACCATAACATCACAACACCTGCCTCAACTGACCATAACATCACACCACCTGCATCAGCTGACCATAACATCACAACACCTGCCTCAACTGACCATAACATCACAACACCTGCTTAACTGATCATAACATCACAACACCTGCCTCAACTGACCATAACGTCACAACACCTGCATCAGCTGACCATAACATCACAACACCTGCCTCAATGACCATAAACATCACACCCCCTGCATCAGCTGACCATAACATCACAACACCTGCCTCAACTGACCATAACATCACAACACCTGCCTTAACTGATCATAACATCACAACACCTGCCTCAACTGACCATAACGTCACAACACCTGCATCAGCTGACCATAACATCACAACACCTGCATCAGCTGACCATAACATCACAAACACCTGCATCAGCTGACCATAACATCACAACACCTGCATCAGCTGACCATAACATCACAACACCTGCATCAGCTGACCATAACATCACAACACCTGCATCAACTGACCATAACATCACAACACCTGCATCAACTGACCATAACATCACACACCTGCATCAGCTGACCATAACATCACAACACCTGCATCAACTGACCATAACATCACAACACCTGCCTCAACTGACCATAACATCACAACACCTGCATCAACTGACCATAACATCACAACACCTGCATCAACTGGCCATAACATCACAACACCTGCCTAAACTGACCATAACATCACAACACCTGCATCAAACTGACCATAACATCACAACACCTTCCTCAACTGACCATAACATCACAACACCTGCATCAGCTGACCATAACATCACAACACCTGCATCAGCTGACCGTAACATCACAACACCTGCATCAACTGACCATAACATCACAACACCTGCCTCAACTGACCATAACATCACAACACCTGCCTCAACTGACCATAACATCACAACACCTGCCTCAACTGACCATAGCATCACAACACCTGCCTCAACCGACCATAACATCACATCACCTGCATCAGCTGACCATAACATCACAACACCTGTCTCAACTGACCATAACATCACAACTGCCTCAACTGACCATAGCATCACAACACCTGCCTCAACCGACCATAACATCACACCACCTGCATCAGCTGACCATAACATCACAACACCTGCATCAGCTGACCATAACATCACAACACCTGCATCAGCTGACCATAACATCACAACACCTGCATCAGCTGACCATAACATCACAACACCTGCATCAGCTGACCATAACATCACAACACCTGCATCAACTGACCATAACATCACAACACCTGCATCAACTGACCATAACATCACAACTGCCTCAACTGACCATAACATCACAACACCTGCCTCAACTGACCATAACATCACAACACTTGCCTCAACTGACCATAACATCACAACACCTGCATCAGCTGACCATAACATCACAACACCTGCATCAGCTGACCATAACATCACAACACCTGCATCAACTGACCATAACATCACAACACCTGCATCAGCTGACCATAACATCACAACACCTGCCTCAACTGACCATAACATCACAACACCTGCATCAGCTGACCATAACATCACAACACCTGCATCAGCTGACCATAACATCACAACACCTGCATCAACTGACCATAACATCACAACACCTGCCTCAACTGACCATAACATCACAACACCTGCATCAACTGACCATAACATCACAACACCTGCCTCAACTGACCATAACATCACAAAACCTGCATAAGCTGACCATAACATCACAACACCTGCATCAGCTGACCATAGCATCACAACACCTGCATCAGCTGACCATAACATCACAACACCTGCATCAGCTGACCATAACGTCACAACACCTGCATCAACCGACCATAACATCACAACATCTGCATCAGCTGACCATAACATCACAACACCTGCCTCAACTGACCATAACATCACAACAACTGCCTCAACTGACCATAACATCACAACACCTGCCTCAACTGACCATAACATCACAACACCTGCATCATCTGACCATAACATCAACACCTGCCTCAACTGACCATAACATCACAACACCTGCCTCAACTGACCATAACATCACAACACCTGCATCAACTGACCATAACATCACAACACCTGCATCAGCTGACCATAACATCACAACACCTGCCTCAACTGACCATAACATCACAACACCTGCCTCAACTGACCATAACATCACAACACCTGCCTCAACTGACCATAACATCAACACCTGCATCAGCTGACCATAACATCACAACACCTGCCTCAACTGACCATAACATCACAACACCTGCATCAACTGACCATAACATCACAACACCTGCATCAGCTGACCATAACATCACAACACCTGCCTCGACTGACCATAACATCACAACACCTGCATCAACTGACCATAACATCACAACCCTGCCTCAACTGACCATAACATCACAACACCTGCATCAACTGACCATAACATCACAACACCTGCATCAACTGACCATAACATCACAACACCTGCATCAACTGACCATAACATCACAACACCTGCATCAACTGACCATAACATCACAACACCTGCATCAACTGACCATAACATCACAACACCTGACACTCATTTACTTGTACTTGACCACTGAGGAAAATCATATAAATTGAACATGTTAACTGTTCCTCGCTCCTGCGTTCACTGCCTGAGAGAAGGTTAACCCTCCCTCTCTCTCTTTCTCTCTCTTCATTAAATGCATAGATTTATTTCATCATTTATTGTATTTTAATGTCATTATTGATAATGACAGCGTGATAGTACCCTTTCTCTGTAACTTAATAATTAATATAATTGATGTGAAATACATGTTACGTTTTTCTTTGCATGTGTACATGTGTGTGTACTAGTGTGCGTGCATATACAGTCATTATGAATGTTTATGGTGAGAGGAAGTATAAGCACGTCTGAATCTTCACTATTTTTCTTGAAGTGTTAGTTACTAATTCGTCCTAAGCACATGTCGATTAGACACTAGGCCTGTAGTATATGTGTGTATGAGAGAGAGACTTTGTGTGGAAGGAACAACACTATCTTTGATGATAATGATGATGATGAGAGTTGTGTGTGTCTGCAGGGATCACTACTTCACAGCGGTGACCTGGGTGGATGCTACTACCATCAGTGTAGTGTGGATGAACCGAGCACAGAACACCTCCGTGGTCACCACCTGCTCTCACCCCATGTACTTCTGTGAGGCGGTTAGTCTTCCTTGTAATTCTTCTTAATACTTACCTAATATAATGGGCCGTCGAGTCACTTGTTTATGTTACATATACACTCTTCTTTACCTTTTTATTCGTTGTGTTTTCTTAGTAAACGTGTGTTTAAGGTTTCAAAAAATGTACGTTTGCTCATTTTAATTCTGTTTAATGTATAATAAAACGCCCTGATGACTATTAAAATGTTATGTAAATACATTTATTGACATAAATGTTCTTGTTAAACTGTAGTAGTTTTTTTTATTTTTCTCATTATTATTATTATTATTATTATTATTATTATTATTATTATCATTATTATTATTCATGTTAAGCGCTAAACCCCTGTGGGTCATTCACTGAGCTCCAGACAAACGCGCTGCCTATATTTGTACACACCTAGTTGTCATTATTTTTTTCTGTCTTTAATTATAGAAATTTTAAGGCTAACTTAGATGCACTGGTAATCTATCTTTGAAATTTTTAATAATGACCACGTACATAAGTGTGCTTATACCGCATTGTAATTATACTGTAGATGTACGTATTTCATAGAGTATACAGGGCGAACACTGTAATCCCTCTGCTAGGAGTTAGCAGAATTATCCAAGTTTGATCGTAAATCTAACAAACTTCGTCTATCAAGGAAGTAATCAAAAGTTACTTTTGTAATTACTGTATATATACAGGGAAGTGTTAGCTTAAATTAATCTGTCTTCACAGTATTTCCAAGAACTTTAATCTTATGCTACTTCTACTTATTATCTTCTTCGTGCTCATGTTCAGAGCTTCCGTCACTTCCTCAAAGGAGTATCGAGAAAAGAATATTATTTATGCATATATTTGTTTATATAGCAGCTGTATAGTCTTTAAGGATCATAGATTACTGTGTGGACTTCACTAACTAACGATTTGTAACATTAATAAAAATACACGTCTTATTATTCACGTACTATTATTTTGATGCTGGAGTCAGTGAAGACCTGTGTGTGTGCTCCTGTGAAGACCTGTGTGTGTGCTGCTGTGAAGACCTGTGTGTGTGATCTCTGTGAATCTGAACCAGGATGCCCTCTCTTGAGCAACTTTACCAGCAGCTGAGAGAAGAGCTCAGAGTTGCTAAGCTGGAGATACGGTGATTAACGGAGGAGAACAAGAGGATTCGTAGTAATCCTGTTGTGAGTCCCCAGGTTAAGAGGGGAGCTTGGTCAGTGGCCGAGCAACATGGAACCAAGCTGAGGATCAAGAAAACGGTTGGAGAGGCAGAAACAACGAGAAACCAGAAGACTACGGTGGAAACTTCCAACCCATTCTCCGTGCTACCTGACGAATGTGAGCGTTCTACTGGGAATGCCACAACGAGCACCAAGGAAGCATTGGCAGACGTGAGTGAGACATCCCTAGAAACCCCAACGAAGACCATCGAGAACGTCTTGACGAATTCCACAAGTGGTGTAATGCTACCCGACGAATGTGAGTCGATTACTGGGAGCATCACGAAGGACGACGCCAAGGAAGGTAAAAACATTGTTGTTGTTGGGGATAGCCAGATTAGGTACATGGATAGGGCATTCTGCTTGAAGGATAGGAGTAGGAGGCAGAGTGTTTTCCTGGGGCTGGGATGAAGGATATTGTTAGCCGTCTGGATGACATCATGAGAGGTAATGGGAGCAATCCTATTATCTGTCTCAGTGCTGGAGGCAACGATGTTGGCAGACGTAGGAGTGAGGACCTGATTAACAGGTATAGGTCAGCTATAGAGATAATTAGGAGGAAGGGTGGGAAACCTGTCATATGTGGCATTTTGCCAAGGAGAGGAGTTGGAAATGAATGGTTGTCCAGAGCAATTGGTGTCAATTGCTGGCTGGACAAATACTGTAAGGAAAATGCGGTAACATTCATTGACAACTGGGACCTCTTCTATGGCAGAAATGACATGTTTGCCAGGGATGGGGTTCACTTATCTAGGTGTGGGGTGGGAGCACTGGCCAACACAGTGGAGGGAGCTGTTAGGTCTTTAAACTAGGAATAGTTAGTGGTATGGGTTTTGGCGGGAAAACTGTGAAGTCGCAGTGTAGTAATATGAGTACTAGGAGGACTAGTAATAGGCAAAATGAGGTGGATATTGGAAAGCCAGTGGCACTAATTGACAAGGACAGTAATAGGTTTAGTGGAATAACAGAAAGGAGCAGGAAGGGTAAAGAGAGAGGAGGGTCTTTAAATATTTATTACACAAATAGTCGCAGTGCTAGGAATAAGATGGACGATTAGGTAAGACACATATGCAACAGTTAGACAACTTTATTCCGAAACGTTTCGCCTACACAGTAGGCTTCTTCAGACGAATACAGAAAGTAGGCAGGAACAGTAGAGATGTGAAGACGATGTAATCAGTCCATCACCCTTAAAGTCGTAGAATTTGAGGTTGTCAGTCCCTCGGCCTGGAGAAGTTCAGTTCCATAGTCAGGAACTATCTGAAGATCAAGCGACAGTGCGGAGACTTAAATACTGTCGGAAGGAGAGGTGCAGGGTAGTAGTAGTAGTGAGAGGCCATTGAGAGGTCATGTCCCTCTCAGATCTGGAACTGAACTTCTCCAGGCCGAGGGACTGACAACCTCAAATTCTACGACTTTAAGGGTGATGGACTGATTACATCGTCTTCACATCTCTACTGTTCCTGCCTACTTTCTGTATTCGACTGAAGAAGCCTACTGTGTAGGCGAAACGTTTCGGAATAAAGTTGTCTAACTGTTGCATATGTGTCTTACCTAACAACCTGTCGGTATTGTATACCATTTTGATGTTCATGCGCCTATAAATTCCCCTTTTCTCCCCTAATAGATGCTTTAACCTACTGTTAACCCATTTGGGATCGTTATTATTAGACCTAATATCTCTCTGGGGAATGTATATACTCTGGGCACGGTGTACATTATTAAGAAAAAAATCATAAAAGCAGATCCCTTCATAATCATAAGTATGATCATCGCCAATAAAATCATTAGCTAGATAACCCCAATCAAGATTAGACAGATGTTCCCTAAGTCTATTATAGTCGGCAGAACGGAAATCAGGGATTTTTACTGTATTATCATTATTCTTGCATTCCCAGTTAATGCTAAAAGTGATGGATTTGTGATCACTTGCGCCAAGCTCTTCAGTGATCTCCAGATTATTCACGAGTGTTTCCTTATTTGACAAGACTAGGTCTAGCAAATTATCATCCACCCCTGGTAGGCTCTGTCACGCTCTGCTTCAGAAAACAGTTCCGTACTGTTTCCATAAAGTCACTGGACTCTAGATTACCTGTCAAAGAATTCCAGTCAATTTGACTCAAGTTGAAGTCCCCTACTATGACTATGTTATTGTGTCTAGAAGCCCTAACAATTTCGTCCCAAAGAAGTCTCCCTCTATCGTGATCCAAGCCTGGAGGTCGGTATATTACACCTAGAATTAGTTTTTCTTGACCCTCTACAAACTCTACCCAAACAGATTCTGTTGCTGCTCCATCTGTGGAAACATAAACACATATGCAGTTTAATGTGATCGTTTATTGACAACGTTTCGCCCACACAGTGCGCTTTTTCAAGTCACAAACAGATCTACCTGGGGTGGAAGGTACGGGAGTATTTATAGCCAGGTACAGAATGTAATAAAGTTGGTAGAATTACCGACAATATGTAAAGTAAAAGGACACAAGTGCAACTAATGTGACATTTATTGTGGCAACGTTTCGCTCTCCAGGAGCTTTATCAAGCCATTACAATTAAAATGGTATAAAATACCGACAGATTGTTAGGTAAGACACATGTGCAACAGTTAGGTATCTTTATTTCGAAACGTTTCGCCTACACAGTAGGCTTCTTCAGTCGAGTACAGAAAAGTTGATAGAAGCAGAAGAGACTTGAAGACGATGTAATCAGTCCATCACCCTTAAAGTTTTGAGGTGGTCAGTCCCTCAGTCTGGAGAAGAGTATTGTTCCATTGTCTCGGTGTGTTGAAGATGTTTAATGCCCGCTGTCTGCAGTCTCTGATGAAGTGACGAGGATAGTGGAGTTTTGAAAATACTTGTTCAATTATAGTGCATTCTTGTTAGGTAAGACACATATGCAACAGTTAGACAACTTTATTCCGAAACGTTTCGCCTACACAGTAGGCTTCTTCAGTCGAATACAGAAAGTAGGCAGGAACAGTAGAGATGTGAAGATGAGGTTGTTAGGTAAGACACATATGCAACAGTTAGACAACTTTATTCCGAAACGTTTCGCCTACACAGTAGGCTTCTTCAGTCGAATACAGAAAGTAGGCAGGAACAGTTTCCTGCCTACTTTCTGTATTCGACTGAAGAAGCCTACTGTGTAGGCGAAACGTTTCGGAATAAAGTTGTCTAACTGTTGCATATGTGTCTTACCTAACAACCTGTCGGTATTGTATACCATTTTGATGTTCATAGTGCATTCTTCCTCAAGGAACTCATTGCTGCAGATTCTGAGTGCGCGCAGGAAGAAGCCTATAATTACACCACGTTTAGTTTTGGTGTCGTGGTGAGAGTAGAAGTGGAGAAGATCGTTTTGGTTGGTTGGTTTTCGATAGACTTTAAAACTAAGTTCATGGTCAGTTTTGCAGAGAAGAACATCAAGGAAAGGAAGAGTGTTGTTGACTTCTTCAAGGGTGAACTGGATTGAGGGCTCGACCTGGTTGAGCTTGTCTTCGAGAGCTTGAACGTTGAAGCGCCTGGGAGTTATGAGGAGAAGTCGTCAACATAACGGAGCCAGGTGAGTCGAAGGAATAATGGTGGAGAAACGCTCGGCTTCCAGATGTTCCATATATAAGTTCGCCAGGACGGCATTGAGTGGCGAGCCCATGGGTAGACCAAAAGTCTGTTGAAAGAGGTGATTTTCGAAAGAGAAACACGTAAAGCCGACACATAGTTCAACGAGGTCGATGAAATCGCTGGCTGGAATAGGAAGATCAAGTGAATCGTCAATTTTTCTGCGCAGGAG